GCTGTCGCATACAATCAACGGCTCCGCCTGCATCTAGGCTGGTTGCCGTTTTGTGCGAAAACTGCTTGATTGCCGGTATTCGTGTCATTAACTTTTGACACGACGATGGCTCAACCACCGACACTGGCGTTGGAAAAAGTGTTCCCCTGCACGCTCCCCGATTGGCTAATAATTTTATCCAACCAAAATCTCGACAGTGAATATGATGTGGGGAGGTCATCGGACTTGTTTATGGACTGGGGCCCCGTAAGCCATGACTTAAGCAACTCGCGGCTCACGCGATCGTCACCTCTCGCGAGAATTTCGGCCTCATCGAACTGGAATGTGTGGCTGGGTCTCGTCAAATGAGTTGCGAATCGAGAAGTTCCGTCATTTCTCCGCAGTGCTACTAACGTTTTGGATTCATGCACGAATCAGTCATCCGAGGTACAATCATATGCGGATATCTCGTACACAGGGAACTGCAGTATTTATAGGATGAAGTTGCTATCCTACCACAAACGCATGGTAATTAACGGCTCCGCCTGTCACCAGGAATGGTGCGATCATTGATTTACGGTCGGAATTTGCGTCATTACTCTTTCGGTAGAATCCTACTTTGGGCTCCAGATCAGCACGCGAAAGCTATATCCTTCTGTAATACAGGAAAGGTTGTACTTAAGAACATGCAGTATAGGCAATACAAAAGAAACGTAAAATAAATAAAAATAGAGTTTATAAAAGTAGAAAAAACAAGAATAATAATTTAAACAATCTAACGTTTGTCAACAAAACAGCGCACCAAAATTCAGATCTGGAGTTATTCAAATATTGGGTAATAAATAAAATAAAAAATTAATGACTGAAACTAAAATCAACTAACTGAAAACTGTAAAGTGAAAACTGGACCTAAGTAAAAGTAAGTTAAAGAAATAAACTAAACGAACGTAAAGTTATTGCGTTTGTAAATTAAAGGTGTGCGCGACACTTCGCGTCGCGAACTATATTAATCTTACTCCAGAACTATAAGTTGAACCTTAGGAATTTTGAAGTAGACGACCTCCTAACCACTAATCTTTGCAGGAATATCAAGAAACCCAATAGACTATAAAGCATAAGTGAGTAAGAAATGTAAGTTAAGTTTTGTGTTTATTTATGGCGCGCTATTTTTTTGCGTAAACATCAGACTTCAAGGAAGGCCAGCTGGTTGTTTTTTTCCCTCTCTGTCGTAAACCGTATGTCCAAGAAGATGGCTTCAAGGCGTTCCTTGAACGTTAGCATCTGATCCCGTGCAATGACAACAAACACATCATCCACAAGCCAAGCCTGAAAGTTCATTCTTTTATTGCTGAAAGCCTAACAGTTTTGAAGCCACATTGGCCTCAAGGAAGATAGCCTGGTTATTTTACTCCTTTTCCGTCGAAAAATGCATATCCGGGAAGACAATGATTGGTTAAATGAAAGCGGAATTTGTTCGCAAAAACGACCAAACATGCGGCGGCAGTGTGAAGAAATGAGACCAATTCTCAAGTGGCGGTTCATTCGACGAGACCCGACCACACATTCAAATACGAAGAAGCCGACATTCTTGCGTTTGATTTTCGATTTCATACACAGGATATTGTTCAAACACATCTTGGATGTGATCACTGGAACAAGAGTTTTATTTTCCTGGCATTTCGGATTCTGTCGAGAATCCTTAATCCTAGTTAACCGTAGAATGGTGTGAGACATGGGCAGATTGGGCTGATACATGCACGAGGTTGCGCATGATTTATAGTTCGTAGCGGTCATCCGCGTGCGAACTATAATTATCATCTCCTGTAATCACCGCCTGGCGTCGTAATTGGTGCGGCGATGGCTTGACAGTTCGCTTTCGAGTCAATTAATTGCCGCTATTTCGCAGACTCCTACACGATGATTGGTTGATGGTCGGCTTCGCGTCAGTAATCTTTCAAATGTCATCCGCCATGTTGGATATTGGCATGATGCGGAATTATTTACTATGGTTTCAGGTAACTGGACATGTTTTAACTGTAGCTGATGGACGACGTTTTGACCGTAGCGAACGACGGTGAGAGTGCCTCAGAAGAGGACAATTCCTGCACAGAGGTAGTTGCAGTATGCATTATAGGCAGTCAGCTGTCCGAGCCTGGCAACCAGTTGGCGAGGGTATATGGCGCGCAATAACTGATGCGACGTGCAGGCCACGTACACGTGGCGGTGCATGGCTGTGCGTGTACTTTTGAACAAAAGTGCAACGGCAGATAGGGATCAAAACAATTCGTAAATTGGGAAAGTTGTTTGTGAAACCGAAAGGTAACCTTCTTCGGGTATAAACTTTTAAAAAGGCTTGCATGACTACAAAATGAGTCCAGTAATTAATAGCTCCATGGTTGTTTTTTTTCTACAAAGTAAATTTTCAGAACAAGAAGATGCGATCACTGGAACAAGGACTTTATTTTCCTGACGTTTCG